TGAAATCTGCACTTCAAGGTCCACAAAGTACTGCGCCTGCCACGAAACACAAAAAGGAAAAAAGAAAGCAAAAGCAACCTAAATTAAATCCGACCGCATCTTGATGGAACTTGGGAATCGGATGATCAGCAAAGCTTGAACCTTAAGCAATTGTTGTTCCAGTCCAATAATGACCTTTGACAGTGATACAGTGATCAAGGAACATAGCCAGATACTCTGACGGTGGTTCTGTGGGAGACCATTCCAGGGCGGGCATCCACATCCACATCCATGATCTCGGATGACATGGAAGATCATGTCATGGGTCATGGAAGTCGTTTATTTGGCCCCAGCCAGCTGGAGGTATAGCAGCTTCTGCCAAAGAGACCGACCTCACGCGCCACAAACGGGCATTGATCTTGAGGCTAATGGCCATGCACTTTGGCCTGGCCGATCGTTGATAACTAATTGATTGAACATGTAACAATATGGACATATAACGCAATATGTGGTAACTTCGTTTCAGGGATCTTCCTAGTTGTTTCTGAAAATGGACAGCGGTTTCTCATCCAAATTACTATCTATGTCAAAAGTGGATGAGGCCTTCTTCAGGCTTTTTGCGGGTGGAGGAGTCTCTTCCAAAGCCTCAGGTATTTGCCCAAGGACAAGGCCTTGGCAGAAGAAGCCAAGCTTCGCTTTGAGCGGTGGCTGAATGCCCAGGATCTACAGGACACCTTGCCGGATGATTTGAAGACGTCAATTTTTAAGCTCCTTGACCGGAACAAAGCATGTAGATTCAATGTAAATGAACAGAAAGGCTGGGCTGGTGGATTCCTGGATGCTCTCCAACATAAGCAGCTTGCTAGTTTGCCGGCTTGGATACACAGGTTAGATCCAGATGACCTTGCCACTGACCATGTTTTGTGTTTTGTTCATCATGACCTGCTGCTGCTGACGCATGAGATCCGGAATGAGTTGAAGGCAATGCAGACTTTTGAACCAATCAAAGCGACAGGCGCATTTCAATGTAAGATCGTTCAGACATCCTATGAAGTTGTCGACCCATTTGTTGTCACTATGTTCCACTCCGTTAATTGTTTTCAGTGTTCAGGGGACCAAAATTACTATGACACACGAACTCCAACTTCCACCGTCAGAGTCCCCTTATCAGACAGTTGTGGGATGGCCAGCCTTCCAGAGAGCTGGAAATTGAATAGGCAAGCACGGCAAGCACCGATGATTATACTATATAAGATGGGTCCAAACCTGGAGCCTGGGTCCACCACGTATAAACTGGTTGATCTTCCAGGCAGGTCAACCAGCCAAGGTCTCGTCCGGGTGACCCACGCCATGTCCTCTCGCCCCGGTCAAGGATCGTTCTCACCAACGCTGAGACGGATGCTCCCTACAATGCCCTACGGCGCTATGCCCGGCGTACGGACATCCCGCAGGCGCGCAATGGCGCGCAGGTGCTGGAAATCCGTTCGGCGTCACTGAGCTGGACATGTTGAGGCCTAGGCTCTTTGTGAGGAGTATTGATCAACACCCATACCGGGATTCTATACTATAAGTACAGATGAAGTGGGAAGTTCCCAATAATACAGTGCCTCATAATATCGCAGTATATCAGTCTGAAACCTGGTTGTGACAATCACCTGGTGATCAGTTCAACCCCCTGGAAGAAGGACCAAACACAAAACCATACAAGACTCATCGTGTCTCGCTATTTAGAAAAAGCACACCCATGATTGTGACATATTGTGACCAGAGACCAGCCAGCAAGTCCTTGTCCTTGTAATCGATCAGTACCGATCCATCGATCTTGACGCAACTGGCCAGGCCGTGCGTTTGAGCATCTACACTGCCTTGGGATCGGCCAAGCGGAAAGACTTGCGTACTTCGGGAGGAAATAGATGGAAATGGGACCTGTCGGACCTGTGATCTGATTGTGCAACTAAACCTCCCATCAGATACATGACGGGCAAGGTGCTTTCGCCATTTTGATACGTCCAGCGATTCCGGCGACTGACACCTGGGATCCAGGTATGAAGACGCTGGATATGGCCACGGGTGGACGCAGTGGAGTTCGGCTCCAAGACATCATGTATCCAGTGCAGGTGGGGAACCTGAGCGATCTTTACGGCTTTGAACTGTCATGAGGGTGGGCAAAGCGAATAAATGCCCCAATCCCAGACACTCCATGTATGCAATATATGCCTACATTGGCCCCCGAAACCACCCCAATGCAGGCATATATGGCATACGTAGAGCGTTTGGGAATTGGTTGGAGAGATCCTCATGGATCTGTCGTTGGCCCTTCTTTTGGGACACCGGAGTCCCTGCAACATGACGGGCTTACGGCATTGTTCAACCAGTAGTGTTCCGGGGGCGAGCGTGGCCTGAGAAAGGAGCATTTGACCTGCCATGCTCAATGCTCCATACTGTAATTATGTTAGCGACTTGAGGATCATGATTTCCGATTCTTCCGGAAGAGCTGGTGGGGCCGATGACGACGACATTTTTCAGAACGTGTCCCGACGGGCAGGGCGTGTCCCAAGCAGATCCCGACGGCGCGCAATTGGCCTGGCGTTGGTTCATCCAGCGGCGGCGGAGCATCATGGCACGGCTGAAAGGTGCCCACACAGAGCTCCCGCGCAGAGCCAACGGAGGGTCAAAGATTTTTCCAACAAGCACAAGCGAATTCAGCCAGAACCGAGCGTGGGCTTCAATAAACTATAATATGTTTGAGATTGACCAGTTTTGTCAGTCATAGTGTTTGCCAATGTTTGCCACAAGCGTTTGAACTTGCTTTCAATGACACTCGCAGAGCTTTCTGAGAGATTTCGGCTCCACGAGAGAGCCAGCACGCAGCAGGCTTTTGCCAAATCACGACAAAACGTCGTTGTCGTTCTGCTCTCAGGTGCCAATGTGAGGTTGTTGGGTGTGGTGATCCAGCTTGCTGCTGGAGCTGTGCCGGACAAGGCCCATGCGAATGCCGTGGAGGTGGGGTGAACGTGCGGACGGCCGCCGATTCGATGCGACCAAATCGGCAGGAGTTCGATGTCCATTGTACACCTTTGCCGTGGAGCGGTTGGAGCTATTCCAGGTTCATGAAGTGATCTTGCACCATGCTCCAAGATCTCAAAATAGCATGGACACCTTTGTATAGCTGATTTGCCCTAGTTGCACCTTTTGTTTTGAAGTTGTGTTGCTTCTTCGTGACACTTCACTTTGTTGCGTACACATGTGAAACATCAGCCGCAAACCTCGATTGCCGAACATGTCGGTCCCAGCGTGCTAAACAGAAACAAATCGGAGAATTGCAGCAGTATTCAGTATATTATATGTAGATTATTGAACTATGCTTTTTGGATCTTTTTAGTATTTTTTAGTTATGAAGATCTCCCAAGTCTCGGACTTCAATGTGTGCTTGTACCTCTTCCACTGGCAGGCCTTTTTCCAGCAGCATCCTGTTCCCGGCTTGGAGCGATCCATTGCCCAAGTGGTCGAGAACGTCCGCACAGATGCAAAGTTCATGATGAGATTCGAAGACGAAATGCAAGGGGAGGAGCCGTCGATCACTCACCGATAAGGATGATGTGTTTGGCATAAGGATGATGGGCACGCCTTTACGTATCAAAAGGATTGGGAATCGGTTCTTCAATATGTCGAACAAGCCGCAGCACGATTCCAGAAAGCAGTTTCGACCAGCTACTAGTTACTAGCAACCCTGCCGTGTAAAGCCCGCTTCAGATTGTGGAGCGAACGTGCCCCCCCAAAAAGAAGCTTGACAAGCGAAGATAAACGATTAAAACGTGTGGTTGTCCATCAGTGTACCCTTTGAACGCATTGGCCACAGATGTGGCAGGTCGCAAAGCTCATACTGTAAACCTCAAGGGGCAAAGGTTGGAATTCGCATCTGTTCCCATCCGCAGTGAACTTCTTGGAGTTCTTCTTGGAGGGAACTTGGATACAGTCGCACCATGTGGTACCCACCTGTAGAGCAAAGAGGATGAGGATGAGGATGTAGAGCTCCAGTCTGCCTGTTGGACTTGAGCCTGCTCGCCAGTCCACCACTGTGGACTGCAGATTGTTGATACCCCAATGGCTAAGTGATTGACCTTACGAAAGTGCATTATGTTTGGAAGAGGTTGAGCTCCACGAACAAGATCAAATCCTCTCCTCAGGATGTGTGAACAATGTCCTTAATCCTTCAGGGTTTCTTTCTTTTGGGAGTCTACATTCACCAGTTGATCTGGACAAACCTGGGTTTGCAACCCTGGAAGGAGATGAAGGAACTCCTCAAAGGCTTTGAGCTTTAAGGCCTGAAGGTTTACACAGCTGCGCGGGTTCAACGTGCCTGTCGTATCCATAAGTTGCCTGGTCGACCATGCTGCTGGAAAGACACCCCTTGACAGGTTGTCCACGCTCCGGCATCAAGAAGACATAATTACTGCACCAGGATCAACATATATCAACATATTAAGTATAAACAACTAACTAATCAAATATGATATACCTTATTAGATCAGGCCCAGGTTTATTGACCCAACTGTTTGCAAGCATTTGCAAGCTTCCAAATCCCAATCGAGGCTCCCGTTGCCGGTCATCATCCACTCTTGAGCATCCCATTCCAATGACGCGTTCACATGCTCTCCTTTCGGCCAGGCCAGAATGCCAAAAAGCAGCCAACCGAAAGCTGCCATGATTATCATCTCCAACCAAAGCTGTTGGGAACTGTGAAGCATAGCTGCCCTAGCTTGACGGCTCAGTCGTTGGTCTCTATTCTTTTGAGATCTTTTGAGTGTCCGGCTGAGAGTCGTAAAAAGACACTTCTCGGCGCCGGTTGGTTCTCGACCCGCGAAAGGGCGCCCGTTTGTTCGCGACCAGAGGTGATTGAATGGAAACGCATCGTGGGAATGGTGAATGAAATAGGGCGCCATGTACCGGTTCGTGCATTAACACCATGGCAGTCCACCGCCCCAAGTCCGAAGTCCGGTTTGGAGCATGTTGGCATCGCAGAAAGCCATGAGGAGACATCAAGCACACAATGAGATAAGAAACATATGACCTCGGCAAAGTGCAACAAGATCAGAAGGCTCGGCCAGTGGAAAGATGGAATGATGAGAAACTAGTTTTTGCGACACCAATGTGGCCACAAAAGGGGTGTTGATAAAGAGCACCGCAAACAGTTTGATATGGAGCCAAATTCAGTATGCGGGTTCAAAGTTCTAAGACGCTCAGTTGAGAAAACGGAAGTTCTCCTTGTTTTTCTCCCCAGTCTGATCAGAGATCCACACCTATTTTGGACTTGCTGACTTAACTGCTCGGACTAGATCGAAAGCGGACCATGTGTTTGCCATGAGCAGCTGCTGGCGTTTTTGAGGCTCTCAAGGGGGAGGGGGACCTTCCGATGGCTGCAAAAACTGGAGTCTCGCAAATGTGAATCGTAGACTGAGGTGAAGATCGATGGCACAACCACGGAAGATACTTGCTTTGTGTCAACCTTTTGCTTTGCTAGACTTGCAGCAAAGGCGAATTCTTATATGTTCTTCCAGTTGTGAAACCACTCCTTCAGTGGTTGACCACCATGTTTCATCACATGTGACCACCATCCTGTTTGAGGCCCGGGTCGCACTCTCTGGAGGCTTCTGCCGCTGCACATGTCCCACCGTGGGCACGCAGGCGCCTGGGTCGCGCCGCGATGTCCTTTGGGTGCGGAGTGTTTGTCAAATCCTGAAGCGGGATACCAGGAGGTACCATGAGGTACCAGGTATTATCGGGCGGCTCAAAAGCATACCACCGAATTTGTGTGCCCCTTCACAATGGTTCTGGTACTTTGTGCCGAGACTGACTTGAGGAATCATTTGGAAATGACCGTCGTCGAAAGCCACAGGCATACCACTTGAAGACGTTGACATCCCCATGTTTTGCGCTTGACATATGTGCAACGTCTCGCGATCGGTGAAGCATGTCCCCTCACCCCATGGAATCTCTCTATAATTAATCAGGTGAATGTTACTAGAAGCTTCTTGTTACTACTAGTAAGGCACTTGTTCCTAGTAGCGATGCACTTGTTACTAGGTGAATGTTATTTCATGTTACTTTTCCTAAGATCGTTTTTGTTGGCAACTTCGACCCAAATATGCGTGTGGATACGTTTCTAGCCAAAATCACCGTTCCCAACAATCCGGTTGGAGGCTGCGCCATTTTCCTCACCTCTGTGGCCACGATTTGCACTACGCAGCTGACCCGCAGTGCACAGAATCAGCTGCATGCGCCAGGCTTTGTCGCGCCGCTTCGGCTGAAAAAAACAACAAGATGGAGCCCACGAACCCGAATGCAAACACACGTTCGAAAAGCTACATATGTCCAAATGACACTCTTGTAGGACACTCTTCTGGGACACTCTTGTGGGTCACTCTTGTAGGAAACTCTTGTGGGACACTCTTACGGGACACTCTTGTGGGACACTCTTGTGGGACACTCTTGTGGGACACTCTTGTGGGACACTCTTGTGGGACACTCTTGTGGGACACTCTTGTGGGACACTTTTGTGGAACACTCTTGTGGGACACTCTT